CCCCCCCCCCCCCGCCCATCCTCTCACTCTCCTGCTCGCCGCCCCCCTCCTCCACGCGCCTATCACGCGCTCGGACGACTTCGACTGCCTTCGATTGCTCTCGACCGCGAGAGCAGGGCCGTCTAGAGCGTGCGGTTAGGCCTAACGTATCAATCGCGCGAGTCAGCCGGGAATTTTTCCGGTATTATTAAAATTGCATTACGGATCGCTCGCGCACTTTCAGTTACTTACATACGCGATTTCTCGCCGTGGCTTTGTCGGTGGGGATATAAAATGTATTATATGCAGAATCGGCAAAGACGGATGTTATGATTATCCCTCGCACGTCTCGTCGAAAGTTGCGAGTCGCTCGAAGAGAATCGGCGAATAAAGAGCTTGAAAACGCATGCATCTCTATCCTTGAATGCTTTCACGAATAATGCAGATTCGCTCGCATCAAGGATGTCCCTCTTCGCTCGCTCGTCCTAAAGGCCGCATCAGACTACGGCGGGTTAATGACTACAATTGATGGTTGCTTCTATTTCGGCCAATCATAATGGGCTCGGTGCATCGTCATTGGCTAAAATAGAACAGAGCAACCGTCAATTGTAGACTGCTTTCTTTATAGGGATGCGTTCCACTTAACGCGTTCGCAACGCTCGCGAGGATTTCATCCTTCTTGTTATTAAATATTAAACAAGGATGAGATGCGAGCGTTGCGAAATGCTCTGAGGAGACACAAGGTGCATTCCCTCATCCTTGATGCTCATCTCATCTTTGCTTACGGTTTATCAAATATTAAACAAGGACAAATAATGCTCGTGAGCATCAAGTAAAACGCCTCCATAATCGATACAAGTGTCATTTTATCTGTTATTCATTGTCAAGAAAGATAAAACAATGCTTGTGTCGACTGTTGCTCATTTCTATAAATGTAGATTAAGAATGCAATCCATTTTGCGCTTAAAGCGTTTGTAATCATTTGTTTAATATTTCATAGACAAGGATGAACTTACAGCTTACTAAGTTTACAACATATGAGTGTGAAAACGGAAATCCAACGTATATCCAACTTTAATTTCGATTCAACTCGCTCTCTTCTTTTTCTAATTCCCAGAATTAGAAAAAGATGAGTTAATTGAACCAAGATTAAAATTAAATTACATTGGGAGAAGCGGGCATGTGTCTCAAAAAGGAAAGCAACTGTAATCGGCAACTTGTAGTCTGATACGGGCTTAAGGTGGCCGACGCCACAGCCGTGGGTGGTTCGCGCACCGCTTCTTCCCTCCCCGAGCCCGAGCCTTCCTTCTCTTCGCCTCGCCACGCCGCTCTTATGGCCGGTGCGCTTCGCGCGCTCGTTCGGCCGTCTCGCGAGGAATTTCTAAAAATCAATATACGCGTGCGAGGAGGAGACGAGAGAAGGGGCTATGAAGCAAAAAAAAAAGAAAGAAAAAACATATTCGATATCCCGTTCGCCCCGGCGCTCTTCTCCTTTCCCCTGCTTTTTTTCCTGGATACGTCTATCCCGGCTTTCCTTTCGTTTCTCTTCTTTTTCCCATTATCCTTCTGCGAAGCGAATTGCGCGTAATCTATCCCTGTCCTTTTTCTCTCTCTTTCTCTCTCCCTCTCTCTTGCTCGCTCGTTCTTTCGCGAAACGATGTTGCGAATAGGCAATAGAGAAGGAGAGATCGGTTTCAAGGAAGAGAACTCGTCTCGGATGAAGCCGGAGGAGAGAGGATTCGCGCGCCAAGCTAGGCTAGGTTCGGTAAAAGCGCGGGAGAGTTTATTTTCTCAGAAGCGCCGCCGCTATACTTGGTATAGTTTCTGCCGGCAGTACCGGCGTTGGCCTCCCGAATAAATTTCATTGAGAATCGTCCGCTCGCATGCGAGTCCGGACTGCGGGAGTCAATCCTTCCCTCCTTCGTCTTTCCGTCTCCTTCTCCCACCTCCCTCCCCCCCCCCCTGCGTCGCAGACGCGATGCACGTCGGGCACGCGGGTGGCAATTAAACAGGTTAACGACATTTCGGTTATGTTCGGCTGAACAATGTAATTCGCTCCTCGGCCTCGATTTAATTGGAGGGAATCGCGTCCCGTGAGAAGAGATCGGGCTCGATCGCACGAAAATCGGGGATCGCGTTAACGGAATTTGGATCATAATAGATCCTTTTTCTTATTTATCATCGAATATCAATTTATTCATTGACGTAGTCAAGAGATTCCCTTAAATCTTAAAGAACAAAGTAATTAAAACCTCTTAAACGGATTATGCTTAATGAGTATTCATGAGAAATTAACTGGAAGAGGATTTAAATGAAAGTTATAGAAAATTTTCTAAGAATCCAAAATACAGTTCGAAGAATCAATTTACTATTAAAAAAAAAATGAAGTGAATTGATAAATTAAATATATATGATTTTACGATTTACCTGTAAATAATTAATTAAAAATAATCTAAAATAAATTCAATAATCCACTACTCGATTACCATCCCTTCTCCCTTAAGATTCGAAAATCTCAACTTTAAGGATCATACACAAAATAACTGTATAAGCATAGCATAAGACTGTTGGATCAATGAACATCTTATGCCAATCAATATGGCGTCTTTTTGTCGGATCGTCATTGGTCTAGCGTTCTTATCCTATGCTTATGCAGCTTATGTCATTTTGTGTGTGATGGCCCTAACTTGGCTCCTCCCTCTCTGAGTAAAATTCTGTCTACGCCCTCTGTCTCGAGAAAAAATTCTGGTTGAAAATGAACGAAAAAAAATTCTGTCACATGACACATCAATCAGAATTCTGGTTTTCTTAATCAGAATATAATAGATTCAATCAGAAAATTATGATTCGTCTATTTTCAACTAGAATTGTAATTAATGCAACCGGACTTTTTTTTTCAGTGTGTGTACATGTACGTCGTCTTTTCATTATAGAATTATTTTGCGACGGGGCTGTATACTTACTCTCGAGAATTACTCCAGCATTGAAAGCAGAAGTGGCTAGTTAAGCCTCAACAGCGTAAGCGGATAACGCGACGTTGTTCCACGCGATTAATTTCAAGTGAACCACAAGCAGGGATTTAAATTCAAGGTTGAGCGTCACATTGGAGTATCGAAAACTTAGCAATTGCAAACTTCAGAGGCACGTTCTTGTTTGACGAATTTCATGTCGTTCTCGTCTTATTATTAGTTACGGACGTGATTCTAATTTCATTTCTAAACGTCGCGTCGTCGCATCGCTTAATGACAAGTCCGACGTCTTTCGTTGAGCATGATTATGATCTAGAAACAGAATCGCGCCAGGAAGAGTTAATCGATCAAGACTGCAATCGCAGGAGCACTCGGGCCAGGGAGAGATATCGCGGCCGGATTCTGTTCGATTGTTCGATTCGCGTATGCTTTCTCCTTTCTACTTCGGACCCGATGTTCTTTTTGCAGGCACACGTTTAGAAGCGATACATTGCTCGATCATTTACGAGAGTAGAAACTCTGGGGCCTTATTCTTGAAAAATATCATATACGGAAATGCTAGGGAAATCTATAATATACATAACGTATATTTATACTTTGTTGTATATTTTCGTATGCGATATTTTTCGAGAATATAGTTCTGTAAACGGCTTTTCGAGGATCGACGGATTTTTTTTACTCGTTTTTTTTGTTTTCCCAGTAAATAAAATGTAATGATAAAAAATAGCTTCGACATGAGGATCAATACTAATCAAATTACCACATGAAAATAAAGTAGAATTCCAGGTCACTTTAATAAAATTGTATGAAATTGCTCGAGATAAAAATTATTAATGATAAAATTCTATTCTTTTTTCGCACTAATTATAATTGTAATTATATGTAAGTTTAATAATCTTTTGTATATATATTTGTATATATGTTTGTATATATGTGTGTATGTGTGTGTGTGTGTGTGCGCGCGTAGGTGTGTGTATCTGCAGTTTAAATATATCTACTTCCTGAAAATGTTCTCAAATAATTCACACAAGAATGCTACCTAATAAAGAACTGTAGTGTAAAAAAAAATTTATTTCAATGCTGCAAATTTGTTCAATTCTTCAAAGGTTAAGAAACTCAACAAGAAATTCCAGTTTAATGTATCTTCCTTCGTTTCTTAGGAAAAAGAGAAATATCCGTTTTCTCTCTTATCAATGACACTGCCTTAGAAGGATGACGAACGAAAAATAAACATGGACGATGCGGTTTCTACGGATCACATCATAGAAGCCGCGATCGAACGCGATATCGAAAGGGAAATTTTATCTACTTCATCCCTTGGCATACTTTCCCAAACGTTTACCTTGTAACAAAC